ATTCTCTGTGGCCATAGATCTTCCAACATGTAAATGACGCAAATTTTAGTGCTCGACGAGGGGCAGAGAATGCCAGTACACCAAAAGCAAGAGAGGCGGGCCTCGAGCCCCTCGGTCCAAAGTATCGCAAAAGCAACCTCAGGTCGAAGATCGTGACATGACATTTAACTGGAATGACGAAGACTGTACGTCATGTATTTTTCATCGCAATTTGTGCTCTTACTCATTGATCATAGTCGTGTTCGATGAAGCACCGTCATTCATCAGTCCTGGAGCGGGGCTCAGCCAGCTGGACTTCTCCCAGGACAGCGATTTCATCTATGACAGCCTCTTCACTAGCTCGGTTCAATTTGACGGTCAGTCGAGTGGCAGCAGTCCGCAATCAAGACCAGACTCTCTTCCGGAGCGAGCCAGTCCTATTGTTAGGGTCTACGGCAGTGATGAAGATCTGTAAGCCCCTCAACTGTCCATCTGTCTGCTGTTCCAGGCGCGTTGCATTCAGCCGTTAATTGACTCGCGACAGTCTAAATGCTTATTACGTTTTCATCCATCCATACTTTCCTGTTTTGCCGCCTCCAGTATCAAGCCCAGTGGTAGATCGCCCATCGTCTAGGCCTAGGGACGAACACAGGAAGGGTCACAGAAGCAATGTCAGGAGTGATTTCGAACCGTCATCTCCTATCACTCTTGCAATTTCAACAATCCTGGCTTTGGTCCCGCATCATGATGATGAAGATCCTGCCAATCCCGAGTCTGTGCTTTATCGAAGGAAATTTGCCCAGTCTTTTGCGGAATCGACCATGGAGAGTGTCGAGATCGAGTCCGAAATATTGGACTCCGATTCCTCACCATCTCGTGCACTGACCGGGAGCTCGCCTACCGCTCGACGGGGGTCTTTTCATCCAAATGTGCCTGTTGAGATAGAAAGCGTCATTGCACTGCTCATCTTGAGTATTTACGAATACGCCCAGCGGGGAAACATCAGCAAGATGCGTACTCGAGCCGGACAAGCATTGATCTCAGCCATGGACATGTCTCTTCATTCGCAGGGCGACAACGAGGGTGAATTCGCGGAAGCAAAACGTAGAGCTTGGTGGATGTGTGTAAGTCATGATGGCAAACGGTGATCCACAGAGCTATGCTGATTGCGCTTCGCACTTGTTAGTACACCTGTGCATGCCAGGGTTCTATCGTCAGCAGTACCGTAAGACATCACGAGAGCTGGTCCGGTCCCTTCCTCACTAACTCGTTTTCGCGGACCACAGCCCCCAACAGTTTCAGTTCACGACCCTCGGTTCACAACAAGGTATCCAAGTATCAGGTCCGACCCCGATGTAAGGAACATAGATCCAGGTATTCTGGCATCTTTAGCTGACTATTGATATCCAGGCATGGCCATTCTTCTTGTCCGCGCAACAAACCATCCTTGCCGCCACTCAATTCATTCTTGACCAAAACAAGGCTTTAGAGATGAAATCCAATATGTCATTCGTGTATGAGAAGATGCACGAGCTCAATAGTAGATTGGACCCGTTACTCGCTAGAGCCGATGGATGGACCACTTACTCATCTGCTATGCCGGTGGACGCGTCCGAGGCCGTTGTTGCATTGGCTCTAAAAAGTATTGCACGTATTAAGTTGAATAGGTAATATGAAAAATAGCCACAGCGTCTCATCTACTGACTGTTGCGCAGTGCAAGAATCAAGCTTAACCGCTATTGCGCCTTTACAGATAGAGCGCTTTTTTCCGAGAAGCATTGCGACCTTAAATCCTCGGGTCAATATTTGAATCCCCGAGGTGGCGAGCACAGCACAATGACACCTGCACCTGCGTGTGGCTGCGGCGACTTGTTCGATAACTCATCTTTCTCATCGATCTCGCGTTCGCCGTCTTCCCCATTATCTTCCCGATCATCTTCAATGAGTTCTCTCGGCTCCATTCCGTCGATCTCGGATGTTCCAGAGTTGAATCTTCCATTCAGCAGCCATCTCGCAGCCAGATACTGCCTAAAGGCTGCACTCAACATAGCTCAATCATTCGAGGCTCTCCCTTACCCGAACCTAACGGGGAATCAGGAGTCTCTGGTTCCGTCCTCTTCGAGCCACAGCGGCAAAGCTCCCCGTACTATGCCGTCATTTGCCTGCTGTGCAATGCAGAGTAGTTATGCAATGCTTATGATCTGTCACAAAATCCGAGCCACAAATGGCGAAGGTTTCATATATCAGCGGAACGAACATCTTGTCAGCAATTTAACCAGTCAGCTCCGAAATGGATTGCAGAAAGTTGTCGGAGCTTTGGACAACTATTCGATGACTTTTGAAGCATTGACCGGAATGCGAGGTTAGTACTATTCACATCATTCAATAGAGTCCAGTCTGCTCTGCATCGAAGTCGCTGATTAACGATTTGGCCAGATCAAGTACGGGCGGCAACTGATGCCGCATTGCCCAGCGTATCATGAAAGTGTTAATATTTCATATTCTATGAAACATTGGTATGATTTTCTTGCCCCACTTATGAAAATTATACTACTACCGTATCTGTTATACTTCCTCGAGGTTGTGCTCGCGTCCATGACACCTTGTCCTGAAAGCCCACATTATCATTGGTACTATCACTGCAATTGAGCGATATGCTACTGTACATTGCGCATTGCAGCCTCCCATGAGTTTGGCCTTTTTTGCTTGATGTTTTAGGTCTTTCCAAAGATACATTCCTTTGGTATCTGTACTTCTACACTAGACCCATCTTCAAAAGCCGCGAAAAGCTTCGTAGTTCCTAAGCTCCATTCGCCAATAAAAACCCTGGAGGCTTGCATCACCACTCTGATTCGACCTCACCGAAGACGCTATCTTTGACTGCAGCCGAACCCGTCCCATTGCTTTCGAGTAGTGGTGGATCTTTGTACACCCAGGAACACTGCTGCTTGAGTCGCTCGGAGATGAGACCGTCTAAAGCTTCGAATTCCAGAAGGAACCCGTCGTGGCCATCCTCGGATCGAATTGTTGAGAGAGTCGCATCAGGTAGATACTTGGCCAGCTTGACTTGTTGTTCGGGCTCGAAGAGGTTGTCTGTGTCAACGCTGACGACTAAAGCTTTTGCCGGCACGGCTTTGAGGACCTCAGTGAAAGCTTCTTCTACTTCGTCTGTTTCTTCTCCCCTCACAATTCTGTCGCGCGTAAGGTCGTGCGTATCCATCTTGTTTGTCAAGTTGATGTAGCAGTTGGCATCGAAGCGGCGGATAAATTTGTCTCCTTGATATTTCAGGTAGCCCTGAGCCGAGAAGACCGGAGAGCGAGTGCGGTGTGTACGGGTCTGAGTCCTGTTGCTTGCCTCAATCTGAGCGCGCTTTCTCGACCTAAAGGCGTCACACTTCGGGTTTTGAGAATTACTATTCACACCGTTGCCGCAATGCCCATCAGCCAGATCTTCTTTGGATTTTTGCAGTCCCTTTCTCTTGGCCGGTGATTTTCTTCCAAAGCGTTTGTCGAAGGATACGCCGGAACGGTATGTGAGCAACGCTACCATTCTGGCTGCCGCCAATCCCTTCGTGGGCTGACTACCCATATCATAGTATCCATCCTGGTAGTTTGAATCTGCATAGATACATTGCTTTTGGGCTTCAGCCCAAGAGATGCCCCATGCACTATGGTCTGCTGACGTCGCGATTGGTATAATCGTGTTGACATACCCAACAGGCGTGCACAACGGCCATTCAAGAGCTGACATCCCTCCCATCGAGCCTCCTACCACGGCTGCTACTGACTGGACCCCCATGGCATCAAGTACGAGTTTGTGCGCTCTTGTGATCATGTTAGTTGTCACTCGTCAAGTAACGAGCTGGCATCTGGTGGCCTACCGAACATCATCTCTAATAGAAGTCTCCGGAAACTCTGGCCCGTACGGTCTTCCAGTACTTGGGTTGATTGTGAGCGGAGAAGCTGAACCATACGGCGATCCCAGAAGGTTTCCACAAAAGACCAAATATCGCGTGTAGTCGAAGGCTTTTCCCGGCCCCAACAACGGACCCCACCAATCTTCTAGATCACTACTTCCGGAGAGCGCATGGCATACAACGAGAACATTGTCGCGCTTCTCGTTGAGGACCCCCCAGGTTTTGTATGCAACTTCACACTTTTCGAGGACATGTCCGGAATCCAGATCTAGGGATGAGATCAATGCGAACACTTGGTCCGATATCAGGTCTACATAGGGGTTTCGCTTCTCGGGAATGTGGTCAAGTTCTGCATAGAACCATTAGAAGGGCAATTTCTGATCAAAGGCGCAGGGGTACTCACGAGCTGTCATTTTTCAAACGGCAAAGTGACATAGATGGGATAGTGAAGCGTCTAGAACTACGTCGACTATTTTCTCCCACATACCAGGTTTCAGCAATATAATTCTCTCAAGTATAGCTTGCATAATCCTTCAGCACGACATATTGCACAAGGTGAGTCAAAAATCACTGTTCTTGCTATCAGTTCGGGATCTCTCCAAGCTACCCCGGGATTTGTTGATCGGCAAATGATCTTCGGAAGGGGACATTACCCCACCGACTTTGACGTTCAGGGAACTTCCCCACGATAAACACAGGAGCGAACATTATTAGCATATGCTATCGCTAGTGCTAATTGCTGTCAACTAAGTTCCCGATCTCCACATCTACATGTCACTAAGATACTTTAATCTCCGAGTCCAGGACTGGCATTGGACCTCTTGGAACACCATACTGAGCCTCCGCCATTCGCAAACGATCAGATGTCGCGCACCCAAGAGACTGTCAAGGTTGCAGCCGGGCACGCTGCGCCAGCAGCGTTTGATCTGCCTTAGAGTATGACCAAATTGGCCCACTTCACTGCCGAAGCCGCGAAAGCAGGCGCTGATCTGGTGGTGTTCCCGTAAGAGTCTAGGGGTCTTTTCCCTTACTTAGCCCGGTGCTGAGCTTATCTGCCGTTACTGACTCTGCATGTAACCCCAGGAAAGGCCCCCTTTCGGCGCTATGCCTTCGACGCAACCGTCGGCGCACGAGAGCCTCGTGGTGAATAACCCAGGATCTAGGCTCTTTTGGGGAAAACCAACAGGTGGCGCATCTGAAATTCGGGATACTCAGGTCGACAGTGGTTTGCCAAAATACTATGATGCCGCTGTCGGCATCCCGTCTCCAGTGTTCGAAACACTTGCCCGCACGGCTCGGGAAAATCATGTCTTTCTCTCACTCGGCAGCATCGAGAAGGAAGGAGGCACGCTCTATTGCACGGCTATTCTCTTAGATAGAGATGTGACGCTCCTGTATAAGTATAGAAAGGTTCGGGCGCCGGTTCGGTTCATTTACTATAGAGATTCTGACAGTCACAGTTGATACCAACGGCGGCTGAACGCATGATCTGGGGCCGCGGCTCCGGCGACGGACTCATCGTCGCCGATACTGCGATTGGCAAGGTTGGTGGATTAATCTGCTGGGAGAATTGCCCGCTGCTAGGCTAGCGCTGTATCACAAAGGCATTGAGTACGTATTGAACTCAACTCATCTCTCCCACCTGACAGTCCACCAATCGAATTACTAGAAACTCCATCGCCCCCAACGCCGACGACCTGCCCTCCTATATCGCAACAATGCAGCGCATCGCGAAAGAATGCCGCTGTTTCGTCATCGACTCGAATCAATTCTGCAAAATAACCTTCTTGCCTACTCACCAACACTCCCAACCCATCAAGTCTCCCTCTTCCCCTCCGACTACCCACCCTTCGCCGCCTCCAACCCCAGCGACCGCGAACCAGACGGCACGGCTTGGACCGCAGACGACGTGCTAAGCCACGGCGGCTCCCGCGTCATTGGACCGCTGGGAACGTTTCTCGCTGAGCCAGTGGGGGATAAGGGGGAGATTGTGTATGCGGAGTTGAGGATGGGTGAGCTGATGGAGGCGAAGATGGAGTATGTATTTGCTGAGTCCATATCTTACTTTTTGCGACTAAGTACTGCACTCTTGAGACATGTCTCGGGGATCTTCACTATCGAAAAACGTCCCAAGGCTCGATAACCCGCCTCAAATACGCAATGCTAACGGCAGGATTGTAGTTTCAGTTTTGATCCGGTGGGGAGTCATTCGAGACCTGGTGTCTTGTAAGTTCCTGTGGAGGTCTTATACTAGTGGACTATGTGTCTGATCGTCGAGGGGAGTCAGTTGGAACTGAATGATACTACTGGAACGAGTGTGACGTGTGACGGCTCGTGGGGGTAGGAAGAAGGGCTGTCATGCCGGGATTGCATCGTGAGGAATGGGGACTTCGATATGGAAGGCGCTATTTATTAGCAAACTTGGGGGTAGCTATCATGTGTGACTCCATACTAGAAGGGAGCTTTTCCGTGAATGGCTCCTTCCCTGTCGTCCCCCAATCTAAGTCATGGCGTATCGTCTAGGAGAAAGTACTCTTGTCAGACCCATCAATTATGTGCTTCGTCCTAACTTGGGGACGACTATGTCCCTTCGTGGGGATAGGAGCATGTGAACAGTGCTGAGGACGAGTATTGGTCGGGGTCATTATCATCGAGTAGACAGACGGACGTATAGCGATGAATGAAGCTCTCAATGGTAAACGACAAGTAGGTTCCCTCGGCATAGTATAACTCCTCCCTACCCAAAGAGAAGAGAAAAGAAAAGACGGCAGCACTTTCAAGCACTGGTAGCCATAGTCATCTTGGACTCAGCCTGGGTGGCATCCACGGCATCCGTAGGTGCAGCCTCACGCTTCTTATCCGTCCCGTCCGCCTCCTCTTTCTTCTCGATCCCATCCGCATCTCCCTTCTCCTCCGCCCCCTTCCCCCCATTCCTCTCGGCCCAACCTTCCGACCCGTCCGTCCCGGGCTTCGGGGCACTCGTGGCCCACTTGCCCATGAAGCCAGACTTGACGAGACCGGAAGCGGTCTGGAAAGGATCGACGCCTTTCTCGGCCGGTTGCAGCCCGGCGGCGACAAAGGCTTGCTGGAAGTCGAAGATGATGTCCTTGATGTCTTCCAGGCCGAGACTGACACGGATCAGATCGGGCGTGACGCCGCCTTTGATCTTCTCTTCGTCGGGAAGTTGCTGGTGCGTGGTGACCCACGGGTGGATGATGAGGGTCTTTGCGTCGCCGACGTTGGCGAGATGGCTGCAGAGTTTCAGGTTGTTGACGACGGCCCTCACTTCATCGATATTCCCCGCCTGGCCAACCGTCAGCATCACGGTAGATGACGCATCCAAGCGTATCGACAAAGAGCGCGGGTACATACCACGCCAAATGTAAGCACGCCGCCAGGGCCGTTGGGCATCGTCTTCTGAGCTCGCTCGTAATCCTTGTGGGACTTCAAGCCCGGGTAGAGCACCCAGCTGACGCACGGATGCGCCTCGAGCCACTCGGCGAAAGCCTGCGAGTTCTCCACGTGGCGTTGGCCCCGGAGCGGCAGGGTCTCCAAGCCTTGGAGGAAGAGCCAGGCGTTGAAAGGGCTCATGCACGGGCCAAGGTCGCGCATGGAGTCCATGCGCAGCTTGGCGGCGAGGGCTTTGTTCCCGTACGTCTCCCAGAACCGCATGCCGTGGTAGCCGTCGGCGGGCTCCGTGAATTCGGGGAACTTGCCGCTGGCGCTCCAGTCGAAGTGGCCTCCGTCGATGACGATACCGCCCATGCTCGTGCCGTGGCCGCCGATCCATTTGGTGCAGCTGTGGGTGACGATGTCGGCGCCTAGTGAGATTGGACGGGAGATGTAGCCGCCCATGCCAAAGGTGTTGTCGATGATCAGAGGGATGCCGGCGTCGTGGGCGACCTTTGCGATGGCCGCGACGTCAGGGATGTTGTGCTTTGGGTTGCTGATGGTCTCAATATAGACGGCTCGGGTGTTTTCATCAATCATGTTTTTGATGTCGGTGGGGTCATCGCCTTGGACGAACTTGACGGCGATCTTGAACTTTTTCATGTAGACTCTGAATTGGTTGTACGTGCCGCCATAGAGCCAGCTGGTGCTGACAAAGTTGTGGCCCGGCTGACAGCAATTGGTGATGGCCATGAACTGGCAAGGATCGATCAGTACGGTTACCAAAAAGGCTGAGAAGGGTGAGGCTTACCTGGGCAGCATGTCCTGAAGCGGTCGCTACGGCCCCGACACCCCCTTCGAGCATGGCCATTCTGGTCTCGAAAATGGTGTTTGTAGGATTGCCCATGCGCGTGTAGACGTAGCCATCCTTGGACCAGGCGAATTTGCCCGCCCCGTCGGCGGCATCTTCGAAATTGTAGGCACAGGTTTGATAAATAGGAGCAGCTCTTGCACCGTTAATAGGATCTGGCTCTTGACCGCCATGCAGTGCGATGGTGTTCCATCCTGGGTGCTCAACGTTCTTTAGCGATCCCGAAACCATTGTGAAGATTGCGTTGTCGTAAAAAAGTCAAACAGCGAGAGTAGTAGACTATAAGGTGAATGCGGGGGAAGCTGCAGCGGCAGCAGCGCCATTATATTAGAGAGGTCGGATGCATATGCATCCATTTCGCCGATCTGCAGATTGACGATGTCTCCTACCGTTTCTGTCATGTTGCGTACACTTTTACTGAGAAATCTGAAGTTGAAAAGTCCAAATCCCGAGACTTTGCTTCAATCCCCGAACATCACGTGACCAGCCTCTGGTCTGGACTGGGATCGGCCCCACCCAACCACTGTTGGCCTAGCTTTATCGAGGTGGAAATGTGTATCAGTGGGGGCACGAACAGGAAGATATCGGCACTGAAACAAGAGAACACGGTCTGGATTGGAGAGCTAACTTCCGGAATAGTCGCCGTGTTTGCGGGATCACCCCGTAGATTGTTTGACATTTCCTTCGGTATTTGCCCCCCGCATCCGACGTCCTCTCCGATATCAACACAGGAACACTACTGTCCCTTAATCAGTGTTAGATGTTTCCAGGCTGTTGGACTCGGATGATCAGGGTCCCCGTTGTGAAGTGTGGGGAGAGTCATCGGTCACAGAAGCCGGCCGTTCGTCCTGAAAGCCTCGCTATCGGCTAGCGTTCTGTACATAGAAGCGATCGGCTTTGGTGTTAGTGCAGTCCATCTTGCGCAAGAACGCAGGTTATGAGTGGAATGAGCGCATAAAAATTCCTCTTTTCAGTGCTGGTATCCTCGAGTTTCTTTTTGTGCATTCATCGCAACTCCGACTTCCTCGGACATTTCACCTGTGGCCAGTCTCACTCCATGCTCTCACCAATGAGGAAAACGAACAGTACGTGGGTGGTGCAGAAGTATGGGGGGACGAGTCTGGGCAAGCTCCTAGATAGGATAACCGGAGAAATCATTCCCAGCTCCCTTGAGCATGATAGAGTGGCAATAGTCTGTTCCGCACGATCTGGCACAACCAAGTCCACGGGCACGACCAAGCTACTGCTTGAAGCCATCTCTCATGCCACAGACCCCAGCCTTGGGTCGGGCGAGCGACTTGACAATGCTGTTAGCATTATTCGAGATCAGCACCTGGAAGCTGTGAACTCAGTTGTTGGCGATGGGTCCAGATATGCCAGTGGTAAGCCAGCCAAAGAACTGGAATTGAGTATAATCGACGAGTGTGAACGCCTTCGGACTTTCCTCCATGCTGCGCAAACGGTTGGGGAGCTGCCTCCGCGTTCGCAGGACCGTGTACTTGCACTCGGAGAGAAATTGGCGTGTCTCATAACCGCATCGTCATTGGAACACAGAGGCTTTGGTGCAAAGGTTGTACTGCTGGAGGACATTGTCGAGCAAGCGTACCCAAGTGATCCAAATGGACCAGAAGCAGCGTATGAGGAGCTTGGACCTCACTTCTATGATCGAATTTCGATAAAGATAGGGGAAAAGATACAAGAATGCGGTGATAGGATCCCCATAGTCACTGGTGGGCACAATCAATGTGCTCAGATTCCTAGAATGACCATCCTTTTAACAACCCCGCAGGATTCTTTGGGGCAATGCCACATTCCCTTCTTCACAGCGTTGGCCGGGGCTATTCAGACTTCTGCGCAGCGATGTGTGCTGTGGGCATCGGCGCTCGTGAAGTCCAGATATGGAAGGAGGTCGATGGCATCTTTACCGCGGATCCTAACAAAGTGCTGTCGGCTAGGCTGCTCGCGACAGTGACTTGCGAAGAAGCAGCAGAGCTGACCTATTTTGGGAGCGAAGTACGTGGTCCTGACCTGCTTTCTTCTCCAGTCCTTCCGGCCACCTCGAATTGTGGAGATCTTACCGGATTCGCGCTGTGATCTGCGATAATAATTTTAGATCTTCCGATACAGGTTATTCATCCCTTGACAATGGAACACATCCAGAAGGCCAAGATTCCTCTGCGATTGAAGAACGTCAAGGATCCTTCTGGCGCTGGAACCATCATATTTCCTTCCAATTATCTTGCCTCAGATGTCTCCGCAGAACTCAACGAGATTCCAAGTGCAGCTCGGTCAGGCATATCGACGCCCACATCTTCCTTCCTCCTTGCCAACGGTTATCATGGCGATATGCAGCAGCGACGAAGGCCAACCGCAGTGACGGTCAAAGACTCCATTCTCATCATTAACGTGCTCTGCCACCGAAACAACAAGTCTCATGGGTTTCTCGCCGAGGTCTTTAGGCGACTAGATCAGCACAGAGTAGTAGTGGATCTGATCACAACCACAGAAAAATCGATAAGTTTAGCAGTTTCAGCAGCAACGGAAGGGGCAAGGGAGATCAAGAATGCGACTTCCGAGATTGAGAAGCTTGGGACTGTGTCTGTCACGAGAGGGATGTCAATCATCTCAGTCGTGGGTCACAAGATGCGTAACACGGTGGGAATAGCTGGGGAAATATTTTCAACGCTCGCTGGGGCAAAAATCAACATTTACCTCATCAGCCAAGGAGCAAGCGAGATCAACATCTCCTTCGTTGTCAAAGAAAGTGACGCGTTGCTTGCCATGAACGTGGTTCATACAAAGGTTCTGCAAATTCCAGCCCATTCGGAGCAGGAGAACAGCTTCTCTAAAGGACCGTGGCTTTATTGAGTGTAGGTAGTAAGCTACAAATATCGCAGTAGGTCTTCTGTCATGGCGTTTCGAGATTTGATTACCCGCTAAGCGACGAGCCAAATGGTATTGAAGAAGGGTTGGGGGTAACAGAGGAGGATCGTAGCGCTGTGAAGTCGGCGCCTTGTCAGAGAATAGACCAAATGTCATGACTAGAGCGCTCACAGTACGGTTCGAAGATAGAGATCCTATGACGCTGTAGTGAAGATCGATAAAACATGAACGGCACCAGGGGGTGCAAAAAGTGACGAGGCCAACTAGGCCGGATTTGGTTCTCGAGGAGTGGGAGGAGATTTCTCTAGAAGAAATCCAGAAACGGATCGATGAGATGTCGGAACGCTGTTCATGGCTTGTAAATAACAGTGGCAAGGGTATTAAATCAGCTACGTGGTGATCTGGTAGTGGTAGAATAGCAGAAATGTAGCCAGTTTGATCTGGAGAAGCTATGTCCAAATCCGGCCTAGTTGGCCTCGTCACTTTTTGCACCCCCTGGTGACGGGAACTGACCATTAGGTTGTAATCTTGCTACGATTGTCATCGTCCAACTCTTCCTCACCCAACTCATTATCGACGAATTTAAGAGCTTCTAGTTTGTTTCTTGTCCACCAGACTTCTCGGTGATCGGGGCCAAGGACACTCTGTTGTTTTGCATGCACCATTTCAAGTAATTTCTTTGCCTCATAGTACCGTCCAAGCCGCGCGTATGTCAAAGCGATGCTGGCTTATATGAACAAGGCATGGCTAAAATTTGACCCTTTTGATTTCTTAAAGGCTTCGCAGGCTAGCTGGAAAGACTCCAGTGCCTTATCGTAGTTGCCCAGATTGTAATACGCAAAGCTCCTTTCTCGAAGAAGGCGGGGGGGGTGCCATCGTCATTGCTGTAAAATTCGCGGCATAGTTTCAGGGTTGCCTGTAGACTTTTCTCCACGTGCGCCGCTCTGTCGTGATTGCCCATCTTCAGATAATCGTATGGGAACACGCTATACTTAGTATGGGCCACTCCAACGTTAAGGCCACCTCAATACGGATTTTTTCAACTTTTTTACCTACCCACTCACATATATATATATATTATAAATTATTATTATCTATTTAAGCCTTCTTAGCTACTCTAATCTTAATTAATTATTTAATCCTCGTTATAGCGGCTTTAAAGTACTTAATCTTCTTATTTCTAAGTGCATTATATACCTAAGACTCTTTAATATTTACCCACTTTAAAGCCCTTAAAACCTTTTTTATCTTAGTTTCCTTACGCGTAGTAATCTTAGACCGAGCCTAATAAGAGTAGATAATATCTCCCTTCTAAACTATTATATTAAGCTCTACTTTACGAGTTACTTAAGTTACTATAGCCTATTAAATAGTATTTAATTCTCGCTTAGCGAGACTAGTTAAAATTAGCATCGAGGAAAGCGTATAATCTAAGCTACTAATATACTTAATTAATATAATATACTCTCTATTATCCGCATTCGTTTAATAAAGTAAAAGTTCTCTTTCTTTTATAATAACCCATTGACTCTTACTCACCTTAATTTGAAATCCAATCTCGTCAAAGTTATAGGTACTTCAAACTCTTAATAAACACTCTAAAAACGTTAAAACCAGTTCTAAATAACTTCTAGTTTATACGCATTCTTTCGTTAAGCTATAAGAGGCTTTTATTTACGCATTTTATACTAAGGATTACACTTTAAAAATCGCGTAAGTTAATAATTATCTACGTACTTAGTAGGGCTAAGGCGCTCGCGGAGTATAGAGTTTATAGCTCTTTTAAGTATCGGATGACGATAAAATATTTCTAATCTATCGAGTCGTTATATATATTAATAAAGAGCCTATTCTTTATAATCTATAAGCGCGTAAGAGTAGCTATCTTTAGAGGGGATCTTATTATAACGATTTAAAAGTTGATTGTAAGGCACGTTGAATTTAGCAGTCAATCGAGTGACTTTAAGCTTTATTCCGAGGGCAATAGTAGCTAAAGCCTTCTGAATACGTTTCTAAATGACGGCATATGAGTCAGGCATGGTTATGGTTGTGGTAGATAGGTGGGGGATGGATGGTTTAAATTATTGAAAAAATTGGTGTTGGGGTGGCCTTAGCGTTGGGGTGGCCCATACTAAGTGTAGCGTGTTCCCATACGATTAGGCATTGTGTCTCAAGTTGTGGAGTTGTAGATTATCAATGAGATACAATTCTGGTACGAATTCCTGTTGCATGAAAATTTTGTCGCTCAGCCTTAACACCTCTGTATATTGGGAATTCCAGTCATTTATGAGCATCATCATTTTCAGAGTTTTGAGTGTACCATAGTGCCTACTACCAAGAAGGATCTCTTGGCCGGAAAATGCTCTTTCATAGGACCTCAAGGCTTCCATATCTAAAGATAGTGCCCGATAACAGTCGCCCATGTAACTGTGGATCCTGAACTTTAGTGGTACATCTAGATGATCCATCTTTCTGGAAGCGGCAGTGTAGACTTCGAGAGCCTCTTGGTACTTCTCAAGTCTTTTGTAGAATTCGCCAATAGCCAGAAGCGCAAACACATGAATACCCGAGGCATTCCTCAAGATCAATTGAAAGAGGACCTTGAGAGGATCGTTCAGAACACGTGTCCTGCGGAGAGAGGTTGACAGTCTTAGACATAGTTCAATTTGATGGCCGATAGGCAACGAATTTTGGCCTTTCAGGAGATCCATGGCTCGAGACAAGGTAGCAGAGGGATCATTTGAGCTTGGGCTCGAATAGGGAGAACTAGTCTCAACATTAGGGCCAGCTGTGCCAGACTCGAGAACTGAGTCTGCAGATTCATGGTTTTGCTGCTGGCCAAAACTTCCAAATTGTCCGACTGTAGCTTGGTTGAGATGAAATTGCAAACTTTCTGTGAGTGGATCATCATGCTTTCCCGCTCTTCGCATTTGGCCAATCCGTTCCTTCAAAGTTTTTTCGAAGATGGCAAATAATCTTTTGTCCAGGCCTGCATCCGCCATCCGGTCACCCCAAACCATGAGCTCGTCCATTTGTGACTCAAGAGTAACATCTTTGAACAGAAGGTGGGCGAAGTGTTGAACCCAGAGTATACTCTGTGTTGACTCTAACACAGTTTCTATCTTAGCTAGACTGATGGAACAAGGTGGCCAGGATCGGTTCAAATGAAAACAAGTATACAACGTAGCGTACGCAAGAAGAGGATAGCTATCCCAGAGAGCTTGCGTAGACTGACACGTTTCGGGCTCCCAATTTCTTCTCTCCTCTTGCTCCAACCTCATGTAGTCGAGACAAAGCCAGGCGAAAGAACGGTGTGTCTGGGTAATGTCGATTCTAAAGCCTAGCACAGCCCTGTCAGATTCGCAGACCCATTGATCCTCAGGACGGATCAAAAAGTCTCTGACAGAGGAGTGAATAAGGCGCAAGACACCGTCTGTCATGGAGACCAGGCCTCCAGTAACATCAAGTACCCTTTGAGGTGGCTGTAGAAGTAAGTACTCCTCGAGAGGTTGCGCCACTGTTTCTAACGACCGGCAATGCATAGCATGAGCATATCGAAGTTCCTCGAAACGCAGGGGGCGGCACGATGCACTCGTGAAGGCCAGGACATTATGTGCTAGACATAGCTCAAATTTGTCGAGTTTTTGAAAAAGGTGGAGAAAAAGGAGTTGGTATGCTTTCTCCAGTCCACGGGGCAAATTCTGCAGTCTCTCGCTGAACTCGGATTTTGACGATGACTTCCTGAGGTCATCGACCATAAGCCGAACCCACAGAAACATGCCATCAGACTTGTCCGTAAGGGTTTTGTAAACGGTCGTCCGGAATTCCGGAAGTGAAAGAATGTCTGACTTGGCGATTTCATTGTTAATGAAGGCCTCGATATCATGATTTAGCATCGCAGAAGTAATCTCAATCGCCCCAAAAGCAGGATTGTCTGAATGTGTCTGGATGACGTTTGGCCGACCCAGCAAAAGTATACGTAAGTTTGGGCATACTTCCATGATTTGCATAATTTTGACGGACATGGTGTGATTGTAATCAGTGCATTCGTCAATCCCGTCAACAACGCAGTATACCGGCTTCGCCAGTGATGAAGCTATTTGTCCGAAGGCCTTCCATAGTTCCGGAATGGTAGGCTGGCCGTCCAGTCTTAGGTGGTGTATAGTATTCACATTTCTTTGTTGGTAGTCTCTTGCAGCAACTGCCATAGGAGTGTTCTAATGAGACTTTCAGAAGTTTGTCGGCTTCCGTCGGAGCTAGAAAAAGCGAAAAATAGGGTGTGCTGTTCGCTTTCTTCCAGTCGAGCCACTATTGAGGAGGCCAATACTGATTTGCCGCAGCCATGAGTGCCAGAGATGACGAGGAGTCGATCCTGGCTTGTCAAGCATCCTGGCTTAATCCATCTCCCAAACACATCGTTTGATGTGATCCAGTCGCAGGTGCCCTCTAATCTAGCCCGGACTTGACGCAGGTGAACATGTTTGACATCCGAAGGTTTCAACCACCTTTCACATTGGATCTCTAACTCTTCGTGCTGTCTTCGGCCGGCTTCTTTGCGGAACTTCGCTGCTTCTAGAAGCTCCGTGGCAACAGCAGTCTGGTCAGCGACCCTAGCATGGCGTTCAAGTCGAGCTATGACGGCTCCAATATCTTGATCAAAAGAGCGTACTACAGTCTGGGCTAATCTCACTAAAGGACCCTTAAGCAGAGAAAGCCATATTATAAGCCACCACTGAAACATACCTAATGTTCTCCGCCGAAAGAATTGGAAGGCCCGCACAGAAAAATCCACCACGTCGGTAAAGATGTTCAGGAGTGCAATTTGCAGTATATTGTCCGACTGCAACTTTTCATAAACCTCGAGTCGCGGAAGGCTCTCTGTAATCGATTGTAGTAGATTGAAAACCTGCTCGGTAGCTTTTGAATGATCGTCCGAGATCTAATCAAAACAATGTTCAGACCTCATTCAATGCAGTCCAACGCTGTAGAGGCATATTAACCTTCAATATGAACTTGATCGGCGCCCATAGCGGACATCCAAACCCAGCCTGTGTTTGTACCGCAATGTCCACCACAGCACTCATATTCTGCAACCATGTTGTATATTTCTGCAGCTTCGATTCGGATTTACTTTAATAAGGACCTGGAGAACTTCATGGTCTACTCAAAATAAGCAATTGAGACTTCTAACAATCATTACGACCCTCAAGATCTTATCCACAATGATGGAGATGACCATGGACGCGACCAGGTCACATCCAATACGTCCCAACACCTCGTTCCTCGATCTTCCCTGCGAGATCTGAGACTCAATATATCAGGTAGCGCTACACAGTTCAACAAGCATACGACCAGTTGGAAAGATCTCGAAGATCACGGTTACTTCCGGCAAGAAGAGACGGCTCCCCCTAACAAAGTCAATGGTCAATTTTTCAAACCCTGGACTCCCTCTCCAGCTATTGCGAGTCAACAAGCAGGTTCACGAAAAAGCAACCGAGACCTTGTATGGCGGTCATCGTTTCATATGCGTCATCGGCCCCACAGCTCGCGTCCGTCAAATTTACATTCATCCTAAGGTTTCAGTCCACGTTTGCACCGAGAAAGCTTATCGGGCACATTATGATTGCTACCGGTTTTTCGCATGAAAGAAGCTATGTCACATACGAGGACAATCTCTCGGATCTACCGTCCCGTTATCTGACGTTGATCAAGTGAAGCGATGTTCATGTCCAGATGTCGGCCGCTTGGTGTAAAGAGGAAGCTCAGGGCATCCAGACAAGCTTGGAAAAATTTGCAACTTGCTTCGGCGGCTCAAAGCATTCCCTACAGGGTGTAATGATCCATCTGAATCAGTCTCAAGAAGGCGCCATTCCTCATCACGCAGATGCTCAATTTCTAACCCTGTCAAGCGTTATGGACGGGTCATATGGAAGATGAGATGCGGAGGAAAGAGATGTAGGGCCTGTTCGATTTGACAAATCGTGCAAGCCTCGTTCTGTCGCGGTGATCTTTCCGGACTGAACCCGAATATCCCGAATATCCACGCGGGATCATCCAACCATAGGGCTTCGGCTGTCCCTATGTCGCATCCAGAATCTAGTAGAACACGCACCGCTGATCTTGCTTACAGAACGCTTCTTCAAATGGCTTGGTAAAGTAAAGCGTGATTCCTCTGTTCCCGGTAGTCTCCCATGGAAACAGCAGATAGCTACCTACATGCATCCGCCACCAAGCATTCAGGTAAGTAAGCACAACTGGTGACACGGTGGCGCTCCAAGAGAGGATACCTAGGTACAGCGTCAGACCTGCCTTCCAGTCCCAAAATCGGCAGGCTTCCTGATACAGGTCGAATCCCTTCGCTGGCCGTGGGTATAACAGTCCACCGACTGAGTTAAGGTGGGGAATATTTGGGTTGATTGATTGGCACCATGATGTTACATCATGCGTTGAAGGTGCATGCATCAAGTACCGAGAAGAGAACGCAGAGCCGGCAATCATATCTGGAAGATGGGTCGTATTAGGTGCAGTTGAGGCATCGTTTGGGTCCAGAGACCCAACATCTCCTGCGAGATCCGACCTACCCATGTAGGCTGACCACTCATTAATATTCTGTCAAGACTTCAGCGGTGATCAGCAGCTTGAAAGCATGTGTAGATTTGACCGGCGAGGTCGCTGTAGCTTGTATGTACTGCGAGCGTTCTAGTGGCAGTCATAGACGAGCCTCAGCCAGCCACCCGTTTGAAGTTCTTGCCATTATGCGGATAAGGTACGTCTATAGATCATTCGGGAAGGACTCAGATCCCGTGCCTCATGAGGACTCTGGAGCTTGACCGTTTGATCCGCAACCTTTGGTGAGATTGGGAAGACAATCCCTGTCTAAGAGTCCCCGCAGGACTACGTGAAATGAAAGGGAGAGTCGTTCGAAAACATGATATTTTTATTTCTGTCATCTATGCTGTCTTCTCGACTGCCACATCACCCGCAACAGCAGCTGGCACCATCCACAGTCTGACCCCCGGTATGGTGGAGTGACGTCTCGGTCGCTCCTCTACTGCTTGGAACCCCAAGCACCCTTCTTCTTCAGCATCTCTTCCTCCTCTTGTTGAATCTCCGCATCGATCTTGGCACCCTTGGAAGGCTCGTTGCCGTGGTTCTTCGCCTGATCGATACACAGACGTTAGCAAGTCATGCCTTCTCTCCGAGATGAACGCTCGGGGAACGCAACGGACAACTTACGGGCAAAGTAGGATCTTTCTGGTACTCAGCAGCCTCCTTGGAGATCTCCTCTGGCTCATTTTGACGCTTTGGAACGGTCAGCCATCTCTGACGCTCTGAGACCTTGAGCAAATTACCTTTCCCTCTCGAGCTAGCTTGTTGGCAATCGATCTCTCATCCTCTGAATCAATTGTTAGGTCTCATGTCTGGCATTGCTTAAATGTGGCTACGCACTGGAGTCATTTGCCTTGTGGCTGTTTGGCTGTCCTTCATGGTACCTGTCCGCGACGTTGGTCTCCGAGTCTTTCGAGTTGCGCTGGTCCCCAGCTTCGTAGACACCACGACCACCGACGCTTGATGTTCCACTCATGATCGCAGATGGAGGTTATTGTGTTTGCTTGGGTGAAGTGTTTGATGATTTGGTACAGATGTGTGTTTAGAGTGACAATCACAGGAGTTGGTTTCCGTGCTGATGCCGTGACGTAATTTAGCTCAGTTACCGACCCGCGCCTAGCTAGTTTCATGAGGAAACGCGAAATACTAGGAAATGCGAATTTTTTAAATCCGATAAATCCGACTTAGATGGCTACTACTATCATGGCCATAACTACCACTACCACTCATTCAAATGGCCTACTACCATAGTCTACCATAATGGCCAATGCTACGGTACCATAGTCGCCGCCTATAAGCTTAACATAGTAGGTGTCCCTGCCCTAAACTCAGATGTAGCCTGTTTTTATCCTGGCGACATATGTATCTAAATAGCATACGATATTCCATCCAGGCCATGTGGTGCAGTGGGATACCCATTGAAAACACCACAAATTATCTGACTAGTGACTAGCCCCTCGACGTATAACTATAAGTTCAAATCCATCAAATATCTTAATAATTTCGAAAATAATAAAAAAATAATAACTTAATATTTGATTTCTTATAATCGTAAAAGAGTTTATACTATAAGTGTATAGTTTATTCTAATTTACAGCCCATTTCCACTTATATATATCTGAAATTTATTAAACCTCTACTAATTTGCTTATAAATAGGCTTTTAAACTTCTTTTTTAATACTCTAAAACGCTATATAAAATAGAGAATACGATAAATCTTACGTAATAGTCTAAATATCTAATATTATAATATCGTAAAACTTTAACTTTAAAGAGATTCGATAAAGAAACGAAGAAATAGTGGCTATAAACGTATTTTGCTATAAGATAATTATTTAATATTATATCTTTAAGCGGAGAAGAAATCGTAGAATAATATACTCTAATTAGTTCGGGTACTCTCGAGCTAAAACGAGCCGCAATCTTTAATTCTTAAATTAATATTAAATAAGTTTCTTCTTAAGATATTATATTTACGAAATCGCTATAAGAGACTAGACGATAATAATAAAATCGAATAATAACGCGATATAACTTCGAAAGTTCTTTATAAATAGAGTAATAAGAAAAGCGTACTCGGTAAGGCTTACGTGAGGTAATTATTAAATAATAAAAGTCTAAGTAATCGATTTCTAAATATAGAAAAATAAGACTTTAGAGGGCTTTCTAAAGACTTCGAATAAATTTAAATCGTTTAAAAATACGATATTCGAGCTACCGATAGTCTATTAATATCGTAAACTAAGTATCTTCTATTATTTAAAATAGATATATATAAGCCTTCCTATAAGCCTTTCTATAAGCCTTTCTATAAGCCTTTCTATAAGCCTTTCTATAAGTCTTTCTATAAGTCTTTCTATAAGCCTTTCTATAAGCCTTTCTATAAGTCTTCTTAATCTAAAATAGATATATATATATAAGCCTCTCTATATTAATCGATTTATCGAATAGATAATTTAGAAGACTAAGAAAAGAACTTACTAATTCACAGTTCCACGTAGCGAGTAAATCGTATTTCTTCTTATTATAACTTCTTTAAAGGCTTTAAAGAAATTATCTAAAGAGATACGCCTAGATCTTATAATTAATAAGTATAATTAAGCTCTTATAGTTTATAAGCTTAGCGAAGAGCCTCGTAAAAAGAAGTCTACTATCTTATTAATTATATTATACTATAATTTTACTAATTTTACTCTTAATCGATATATTAATAAAAAGACTTATTCTTATTAAGAAGTATATAAGAATAAATAATAAATAAGTTCTATAGAGGAGTAAGCTTTAAGTTTATAAGTTCTATAAGTAATAGAGTAAGATTAATTTTTAAGAGTTATCTCTATTTAATATATAGCTAAAGAAATATTAATAATAAAGAAAAATTATAAAGAGCTAGATATAAATTAAGTAATTAGCTTTCTAAAATATTATTTAGAGCTACGAAGTCGATATAATTAACTATTAAATAAAGAATAAGCTATAATTTATAATTTAATAAAATTACTACGATGATTTCGATTTATAAAATTAGTAATTTAGAAGTACGATATTTAGAAGAAAGATATATATAATATAAATAAGAAAGAGATTATTTTTAATTCTACTAGTAGAATAAAAGTTATTATCTTTAAGTATAATATATAAATATATAAAACTTAGAATAAGAGTAGAGAATAGATAACTTTTATCGAATATATATTCGCTAATAAAAGGCTTCTTATATTAATTATTATCTTTAAAGATAAGTATTATATAAAGATTTAATATAATATTATAAAGAATATAGCTATATAAATTAGAATAAGTAAAACTAACTAGATAAATAACGTGTTAGATCTAAATTAGTTTATTAAATAAGCTATTCTCTTATATAAATTTAATAAGAGAAGTACTCCTTAAAAAAGCGTCTAACTTACTTCTTATAAAAGCTTTAAACTATAAACTCGATAGATAATTAAAGAACGATATCGTCTTCTT